GCGTGACTCGCGATTCGCATTCTAAAAATGCAAATGCATGCATCTACGCGATACCTATTACTAGTTAATCGCGTCAGCAACGATAAATCCGTTAGCAACTATTATCAGATGAAATCAAGTTACTCGCATTACACTTGCTTGAATAGCGTAAAGTGCAAAATTCCTCATCGTCTTCGGCAAATGTGGAATTTCTCGACCGGTGGCAGACCTATTCGCGCTTTCACGTTTATTGGATCTTACGTCTTTCGGAGAAAGATCAATAAGAAGAAGGAGAGCGACGATGATTTTTAGCGACTAGGCGAGAACCGGCCAAGTATGCAAACATTTTAAGATGATGGACAGTGTAATGGGTGTTCGGTTTGGACTATCTGCGACTGATGGTTCTTAACTCGGTGGCGGTACTTTGACTCGAGAGTTCATTCACCGAATTTTATTGAAGCTCTCGCTTCTCGGATTAGGGGCTGAGAGAAAGAGAGAGAGAGAGAGAAAGCGAGAGAGCGAGGTCGCGCACCTCGGGGCACGTACGCCACACCGTTACGTTGCGTAACGCGCAACGTCGGATCTCGGCTTCCGCAGGAACGGCAATTTAATAATAATCCTCGTGATTGACGTCGGAAGCCTTCGCCGACGCACCTGAAAACGCCTGAGCATCTGCGGCAACCAGAAATGGAACTGGCAGTGAAATCGGAAGTCGGTTTCAGTAATAGTTTTCCAGGCTTAGACTGAAAACAAAATTTTAGAAAGATAAAGTTCTCATTTTTTTTATATCTGAGAGATACTGAGATCTCTTGTAAAAATCATCATGCAGTCAGGTGATTGCATTTGTATAGCTTCGATGTTTATTTGCGATACGGTGATTGCAAATGTAGATATAAATCATTGTTTTACTCGGAATCAATTTATTCCGGAAACTTAGAATTCGGATTGTTCAATATTTGATCACGGATTGCTTTTTAATTCCCGGTGAGATTAGAGCGTAATTTGTGCGAGCAAACGCAAAGAATGATGCAAGAATTGCACAAACTCTCAAATTCGATTGTTGACAGTATCAACAATTGGATTTATGTCTCGTACAATTTAAACAGAAGAAAGGAATACCGTTTTCGATATACCGCTTAAGTATAACGTGAAATATAAAAGATGAAGATGCTGCAGATATTATTCTGCAGCATTTGGTCGCAAGAATCGCGAGGTCATCTCGAGAAGCACCGGGGCCCAGGAAGGTTTCTCCCATAAAAAAAGGACTTATGACCGGCGCCACAACCCTTCACACGTCCGCCTCGTTGGCGACCGGTCGTATCGGTGAGATCGGGACTGGAGGGAGAGAAGGGGATGACATAAAAGTGGAGCGGCGTCGAGACACAGCGCACTCTACGGCGATAATCAGCCAGGAGAGCGAGTGTAGAAATTCTTTCCTTCTCACTCTCCTCCTCCTCCCACGACGAGCGTGATCGGACATCGGACGAGATCGGCCACCCTCGCGAGGACAGCCGGTTATCGCGTGCTCACTATCGGCGAGCGGGGCGAGTTCATCAAACTCATCTGCGGCTCCACGAAGCGAATATCTTGTCGGCGAACAACCGAGATCCGGAACGATACCAGACGAGTAAAGATTGATAATACAACGCCGGGATCGCGTCCGAATAAGGAGATCCGATCGATTTGAAAGTAGACCGTTCAAACGCTGAGTTTGATCGCCGTAGAAACTATGTGTGTACGCACGCTGGTGGGCAACGAAACGAGCGAGCAAATCGCGCCAGCCGATTCGAAACAGAGATCGCACGAAGAAATGTCGGAGAAAGAGGACCACCTGCGTCAGCGGGCGCAGAATCTGCCCGATCTGGCCGATTATATCCTGGCTATCAGCACCGTCTACTACAGTCTGCTGTTGAAGAAACTGGCCAAGTACCACGAAGTCATATGTCGCTCCAAAATGTTCAAGTAAGTCGACCATTTTTTTCCTTTTGTTTTTGGTGGGAAATCAAATCGCTAGAAAAAAGAACAGAAAATTAATTGATTATATGAGGACCGATTCAAACTTATCTATTTTAATTATGTCAATTATCAAACGTTTATTCGAATTTATTTATTTCTTGTCGCCGATGCGCGTTTTGCTTCATCAGAGACAATTCTGCGGATGCGCGGAATTTTCGCGGGTTCAATCAACTATATAGGTACACGTGAACTCCTGGAGTTTACGTAATCCTCATATTCTTTCCGTCTCTTTCTCTCTCTCTCTCTCTCTCTCTCTCTCTCTCTCTCTCTCTCTCTCTCTCTCTCTCTCTCTCTCTCTCTCTCTCTCTGCCGGTGCTTGCTAATCTGAAGTAAAAACTTTGTATATTTATCGTATGTTAGAAAATCCATTGCAAGAGATCTTTACGCAAGATTCGCTTTTGAAAAATCCTCGTAGAGGATTTAAAGCAAATGTTGCTATAAAATTATTTACATAAGATATCTGTATAAGCGACGTCGCCACCGGTTGATGAAATTACCGCAATCGTTTCTGTATTCTCATTATGTCCAGTTGATCGGAACAATGATCGCTCGTTAATCAGACGTAATAATATCAATATCAATGAATGCGATTGTAACATAACACGAGACATGCAAATAACGTGTATGCATCTTTCTTCTCAGGTATAATCTTCTTGGATAACGTTTGCATTAATGTATTGTGGAAAACCGATGTGCGTCAAGAATTATTTTCACAATATTATGAGATTTATTAAATGAAATTAAGGTAATATATATACCACTTCGCTGCATAAGATAAAAAATTTCCGCACATATCTCGGGGAGCAAAGGTTCGTCGCGACGAAAAGTTGAGAACGTAATACGCGACTTCCATCGGCGATGCCAATTTCTTTATTTTTGTAAAAAAGTTTACTATTTTTACGGAAAGCTTATAATAAAATAGTTAGAAATTTATCGTATAAAATGCGATAATCAAGATTGGATGTATTTTATGTCTATTTCACTAACAGTTTCATCTTCAGTATTTTGAAAAAAAAACTCAATAGCTTCCAAATATGACAGCTATTTATGTATACGATTGCATACTATAATTAAATATTACATATTATAATTGGATACTCCGCGCACACCTTAATTCGACATAAGATAAGAATTAATTGAATTTTGATATCTCAATTGGGAAGCGCGATAAGCGCTGACTGTTTCAGTAATAACGGAATTGTACGAGTATATTTCGTAATTTTATCGGAACCGACAGATCATCGCTATACCAATAGCGAAACTATCAGTAACAGATTGCATGTGCATCCTAAAATATATGTATGTGTATTTTCGATCATAATCAAATTTGCTTCGTCTTTAATCATAAAATCAGGTGATTGTTAACGCCAACAAATGACGCAAATTAAAACAGACGGCACGCAAATGTCTCAGTTAAAAATTTTCTGCGTAAGTCTTTCGCATGACGCATTTGTATCACCCACTTATTCCTTTCTCATTCGCGAGACTTATCTATCTCATGTCTCGTGATCTATTTTCGAGTTGTTGCAAAAGCAAAGATTGATCGACGATTTACGTATAAACAGATTTCTCATCGACAATGATTGAAAGTGTTTAATAAACAATAAATTATTCTCTATATCTAATAGAACGAAATGTATCTCTGAATGATCAAATTTTAGCTTCAGATATAACATGCTAAAAAAGTCTTTATAAGTTTTTTTTGTTAGATCTTCAAAAAAATTAAGATATATATGATCGGAGATTTCTTTTACAAGTGATGCACTCTTCATTTAAATGTTTCCCCCGATGACGTCTTTGCGGTTTTCTCTTTTTTATTCTGAGCAAGATTTACGTATCAACGTCGTGAGCCTCAAAAATTCCATGGATTTTGCACGAATCCAATTTAATTCAATAAAAATGTCACATCACGTTTGTCACATCGATAACGCAATACTCTGATAATATGATTCCATATGATTTCACAAACGCTTTTGTCGAATAATTGCACTTTCATTTATAATTAAAGTCACGCGATTAAGTAAATCACTTATTATCGTTTTCTCAGAACATCATAAGTCTCTGTAATTAACCTGGCGATCATTTAATTACGTGTCTTAAACGAAAGAATCAGGCCGATGCCTAGTTGCAACCTAATCACATTCTTTTGGAAAAAAAGATGAATGAGGCGCATTCTCGTAAATGCATCTCTTAAATGCTTATAATACTTTAAAACAACATTGTTCAAATGAATCGAGGAATTTTTAAATAAGCATAACATTAAAATAATAAAATGATACAGTCTCCTATATGATACATTACTTATTAAAGATTCAAGTTTAGACAGAACATTTGCACAGATAATACATTGTAAACATAATTTGTTAAAATATTTAACATATCTTCACGGCGGTATTCGTATTTTTCTTTTCTCTTCATATTTAAAAATTTTTGTATGCTTTTTTCTACATATTTACCAATATTTAAAAATTTAATATAACAATATTTCTTTTCGCAAGACATACATTTGCTCGAATATTCGATAATTTTGCACAAAATTGTCTTAGCCGTTTTTTATTTACGATCTTTAATAACATGGACATTATGTTTGTTTCTTGCGTATTTACCAATATCCGAACTTCTATTTTTTACATGATTATTCATAAAGTTATATAAAATGTAAACGTCCAAACTCTTCAAAAATTATTCACACAAACATTGTAAAAAGGAACTAAAGGAATATACATTTCGTACATGGAAATTTTGTCTTCTTATGCACAAAAAAGCAATACTTCTATGCCCAACTGTGAAATACATAATCCTTTAGTTCTTTCTTGAAATGGTCGTGTTAGTGATTTGCTAAGAGTTTTCTGACGTCTACTCTTTTCATGAAAATCCACTCTAAAAAAAGCACTAGTACTGTATAAAAAAGTAATTTTTATGTCCAACTGTAAAATATATAATCTAACGGTTCTTACTTCAAATATTGAGTGATGTAGACTTTGTATCGGTTTCAAGCTACAGAACACGATTCGATCAAATTTACATAAACATTTGTAACAGATATTTAAAACAAGTATTATCTGATTTTTTGTTATTCTTATTACATATACATATGTACTGAGTACGTCACTATAGATTCGTCACTATAGAAAAATCGTTGTTATATTCATGAAGTCGATTTACTTTTTATAAATGTACAAACACAGTTTTTGATGTTAAAGCATAGTTCAAAGTATATTATGCATGTAAATATAATTTATAATTTTAAAACATAATATGCTTATAAAATTATAAATTATATTGATAAAATTATAACATTATGAATATATTTAACTTTACAAATTTTATACATTTATAAACATAAAACCGATACAGTTATGCGATAAATAATGTGCCAATTATAATGCCAATATCGTCATGTATTTCAAATCCCTTGAAGTCAAAACTGTCGTTATTGCTGATTATAAGAGGCTATTTAAAAATCCCGCTATCTTCATTTTCATTATCAAGTTCTATGTAGATAAATCTATATAAACATTTGTAATATATCAAAAACAAATATTAATTATTTGATTTTTGTTGTTTTTATCATATGTGTACACCATTCAAAAAATAAAATGTAATGATAAATATTAATTAATAATAAGAATTAATAAAATATAATTAAAACTCGCAGTAGGTTCTCTTTCAGCTTTTGTGGCTTGTCGACAGTTCAGATTGATCGTATTCCTTATTTCAAATCTTGGTTTATTCCATTCCAATGTGCTGGATGTATTCTTGACATGTGAGGTATTAAATTTTGCGATCTAAAAGTAAGGTTCACACTATTTTGGTTACAAGCTTGACAAAGCTTACATTTTGCAGAACAATTTGTATCTTGTGTCGTGTATTTGTAAAGCCAAGCCTCTTTTCTATGGCGTTTTGAATCTTCAAATCCTTTGAATTGTCCCAAATGCATTTGTACATAATAAGTTATCATCTCGCAGTAACTGATCACATACAATACATTTTATTTCTCCTAGTTTTGTGAACCTAAAATAATCCCAGACTACATCTTTCTTGTTTTTCTCTTTGTAGTTATGAATATCCAGATGCGCTTGAAGTAAATGTTGCTTAAATCAATACGTGTTCACGTATGATACTTTGGTTTCGCAAAATGCACATTTTGCTTGAAAATCCTGGTCTTTTGTAAAACATTCTTATATCCAGAGATACTTTCGAATTCGTGACATCCAACACATTGCGTCTGATCTGTATGATAGAACGTATTTAACTGAACGCAATGCAAGCATTATTTTGTTGAAAAGTGCCGAATAGAAGAGGTCGAGGAAAGAGACGTACAGTTTTCCCATTTGAATGTAAATATTAACAGCGTTTAAACTTATCTAACAGTCATCAAGAGACACGGTAGGATCTGATGCAAAATATGTATAGTAATATAACAATTTCGCGAAAGAGAGCGATGAGAGAGAGAGAGTCTCATGCTAATCGCAGTAATTAAGTCTAAGCTACAGCACTACAGAAGATGCCGATCTGTCGGTGTGTGTGTGTGTGTGTGTGTGTAAGGCGCGTGTCAAGCTTGACGACACGACGCTCACACCCACACAACAGTAAAAATTAGATAAGGTTCAGTTTAAGATGAATGTAAGTTAGTTGTAAAAAGATAAGTATAATTCCAAGGAGAACAATAAAGGACTACTATTCGCATTATTCTTTTATATATTGCAAAAATATTAATATTCGATTAGGATAGAATTGTATGATAATTTATATTTCTAATTTAACATTCTTGAATTTTAATAACGGGTATGCAATAATAAAAGGCATACATTATGAATTTTAAAGATTGCTTTTTATAGAAATTCTAAACTAAGTGATGAGTTAATATGTTCGGGAGGCAATTTTGCTAGGAAGCCAAACATCTGTTCACATGGTGCTGGCAATTCGCCACATTATACATCTTTTACTTCTTCAACGAATCCATAAAATGAGACATGACTAGCGGTTTTGTTCGTTTCATTCAGTGTCGTTTTGCTACGTCGCGTGACTAGTGTTTCCGTTAAAAATGTATCACAAAGTACATTGTATCGTTCATTCATTTCATATAATTTATTTCTTTTATTAATAAATTTATGTTCTATTATATTTAGTTCTTTATAATTTTTTCATAATTCTCCATAAGCGCAATAGTTTAACAACTTTTGTACGATATATGTTTTTTCAATCATTTTTATCTCACATTTTATTTTTCATTAGAACAAATTTTTTTGTTAAATGTATTAAAATTGACTTAATATTTCCATCTGTTAATTAATTATTTGTACATTTTAATGTGCATTTAATTGGCACGAAGAGTTGTGCATTTGAGACACCTAGAGTGAAATTATATCTTGAAAATAAAGCGATGACATTTGATGGCAATAAAACGGAGAGGCCGGATGCATGCAATAGAGATTTGCGCGCATTGCTTTACGTCATTAATGAAGAGAGGACTGATTTTGCGAACCAAATGCGGCCGCGATTTAAGCGACAAGTTGTGCGTGCCATCTCGCACGTTTCCAGTGCCATTTGATAATGCTAAGGTCGGCTCGGTGCATCTACATATACATATATGCATACTCACGCAGGTTTAGACGTGCCCGACACATTTGCACTTTGAATTATGGCCATGTATCTAGTCCCTGGCTCTCCTTTTTATGGCTCTGTAAAAAGAAAGTATGTTATATAATTTCCAATAGAGAAAAGATCTTTGATGTTATTTATGAAATCAAATAAATTGCGATAAATAAGTTTAATTATACGATTTAAAGTAACACAGAGATCTCAATGTTATTAAATGTATAAACATTTAATAACATTGAGAAAAAAAAAACTGAAACGTTTGTCCAATGTTTGACCTCATAACAATTTTATTTTGATTTTACATTTTATCAAGGCCTATAATTTTTATTAATAAAATAAAAGGTAGAAAGAAAATAAAAAATATTTGATTATTCCAGATAAGAATATACGCTTCTCGAAATGGGAAAGAGAAATGGCTAAAATAAATTTAGGCATTTAATGATGCATTGCAAAATAAAATAGATTTGTTATTTGTTTTAGAAATCTATTGTCTTATACTAATCGTTTAAATCTCGTTAAAGTAGATTGCAAGATATATTGAATAAAAAGATACGCAAATGCAGATAAGTTTAATTAATCTCGAGTAAATCTTCGATCTTAAATCTTGCGCATCCGCTTCGCATGCAATCCTCCGACGCACTTATCGCGATCGTTGATCGATGTAAAAATAGTGCATGCTGAAACCTAAGAGACAAAAATATCCGTTCTACATCTTCAACGAAGCAGGCAAACATGACGCAAATGTCACGATTTTTATTTCATATGCATTTGTTTGCACTCTAATTTAGTAATCTCGAGGATACTGTGCGAGAGAGTTGCGGGACAATGTCGTTCTGCTGGCTTCTGTCTGACCTCGTCATGATTGATCGCTTTATTAAGGGAATCAGCGATCAAGCGCGATCAATGTAATCACGCGCGAACTTATTGTCACAGATGTTTTTCTTCGAGTCGTCTCGAGAACGCGTTGCTCTGGTTGCCAGAAAAATTTCTCTGCTTCGACAGCTGCACTCCTCGTGATCTTATTTGCAAAACGTAAAATTAGTCCAAGGATAAAGCCTATTGGTTCACGATGTCTGGTTAACGAGACAAATAATTTGTCGTAAACATTATTTGCATTTATCTCATCGAGATCTCTATTCTACTTTTAATCTTTAATTAAATTTATTTAACGCAATTTATTTGATTTCATTGATGTCGATAATGTTGCAGAGAATTTTATGCAGAATTATTTATATATTGATACGTTGCGTTATTGATAAAACAAATAATAAATTTTAAATACATATCCCGTCTTGTAAAATACAGAATTAACAAACAATTGAAAATTTTCAAAATATCAGAATATCACCTTGGCAAAAATACACGTGCACTTTCGACTTATTGCGAGAAAAAGAATGACACACTTTACAAAATAAATTTATTATTAGTTTATGTTATTTTAAAAATATTTTTGGTGAAATTTATATTCTCGGATCCTCGATACATTTTTTCATTTCAGAAATTAAACTCTCGTAAAATTATTTCCATAATTAAGAGACCAATATATTAATTCTTTTACCTTTTTTTTTGCAGGATACTTTTTTACACAACTCAACCCGCTCACATAATCATGATAGTAGCGGTCTTGTTCGTTGTGTCAACCCTTGTTCCAACAAAGGGAAGAGGGCAGGTTCCTGATCATCCTTACTCAAGAATGACATCCTTCATTTATCTCGCATCCTTCGTCATACACTTTGGTGCCCAAATTTGGATGACTTTCGTATCAGGTAAATAATATGTACCTATATTTTTGATAAATTAATTTTGTCTTTTAATCAATTTAAATTTTTGCAATTGACTTTCTTTGTAATATTATGATGTGCTTACAGGTTTATCCTTATACTTTGCACTGCCGCGGCACGCGTTTAGCGAGGTACAGCGTGTCCTATTCCCGCGATATTTCACGATCAACGCCTGTCTGAGTCTCATTACGCTCTTCATATTCGTTAAGCATCATCCTGTACACACATGGGACAGTGAAATCGCCATTCAGGTACGTAGATAATATCTAACAAAGTTTGTAGCATGTTAGAAAAATATAAATTTTATCTTTATATAAAATTCATCAATTTAAAGATTTCATTTTTTTTTTAATTTTACTTTAAATTTCATAGAATTTTTTCTAACAATAAATAAAATAAAATATATATTTAAAAAGAAAAAATAAGGGTGAATATTGTGTTATGTAGGTCGGTGCAATGTCCGGAGCCTTCTTCCTGGAGCTGCTGATACGTCTTTATCTGACACCTCCGCTTCTGCGATTGATCGTGCAGAAAATCAAGTTGGAACGCAAGGCGGGCGTCGGCAATGAGGTCGGCCGCCACAATCCTGGACGGCTGAAAAACTGTCCGCACTACCTAAAGATCCATCAGGAGTTTCGTCGAAAGCACGTATGCATCGCTATGGGGAACATGCTCACCATGGCGTGCACAGTGCTTCATCTTTATTACATAGCGAGTAAATTATGTGCTCTGTAAGATTGATCAATTTTATAAAATCTTGTTCGTTTGGGAGCTCACGGAGATCCATATAGAATTTAGAAAATATTTTTTGAAAAAAAACGCGTGTTTTCTAACAAAAATATAAAACGCATCGGGGAATTCAGGCTTGATAACAATCAAGCAAGATGTGATCTTTCCTGCCATTAAAGTCGCTTGAAATAAGACTATATAATGAGTCTTTCAGCATAGCTGCCTTGTATTTTAAACCTCGAAGAAATGAGGTTGAATTTTAGTATCTTAGTAATCTGAGCTTATTCTATGTTAAAATAGAGTGAGTATTCAGTAAAAGACACACACGCTAGACAGCGCAGATCATTAGCATGACATCGTGTGACTCATTCTAGAGCATTGTTCGATTTGAAAGAGAAACAAGCTGAGATAATGATAGGTAAAAAAAAAAAAAAAAACTAAATGCGTTTAAACGTTTCTCACAACTATGATCTGCTTACAATTCGCTTACTATTGGTAGTGCTATATAAATTATTGCTGAAAGTAGTGCATAATGCGTGCATGTTGATTTGTGAAAATGTCTTGAGAAATTGCGTGGATATAATTTATTTATCGATAGAGGAAATCAGTACTTTTGTGTAAATAATACCTCGGACGAAAATATATTGATTTGATTTATAGGATAGATATGTATCGTATTTTCAAGCTTTAAGGCACGAATTCTTGCCAAAGCGCATTTTTTTTTTTTCGTATTAACATAACGAGCTCTCGCGCCATATTAAAATCGTATAACCAATTGAATATAATTGAATAATGCATTAACAATTGTGCCCACAATTGAAAATCACAGTTTGTTGAGTAATACTTAGAGAAAAGTTTCAAGAATATTTTACTTGATTGTTTCGTGAGCACGAAGAGAGATCGCTGCTACTATATTAGAGAGAATAAAAATATATTTACTTGTATTCAGAATTAATATTTATTGAAGTAAGAGAGATTGCTAAAGGCTCATACATATATAGCAATGTCAGTCTATATTCAAATGAAAGAGTCGACGTATTTTATATTGACTAAATTATGGATTCGTACACACACATGTGGAACTCATTACTGTAAATAATTGCATACTCCTCATTTAATTTCTTTTGTAAATCGTATGGTATTTCATATAACAATATATATGTATGTTGTTTTCGTAAATTTCTTCCCTCTTATTAATTATTATTATTATACCTTCCCGTTACTGTCAACTCTCTCTCTCTAATATGTAATTGAGTATCTCTGTGTAATAATTTTAAATATTCGATGAATATTATATGATAAGCAATATAAATTCAATGGTGAATTCGATATCTATCGATGAAGATAATCGTAGAGTGCATTTGTAAAACGTGAGATGTTCAGATTATATATATATATACATATATATTCGTATATCAAAAGCTTATATCTATATAAAAATCTGTACATTACTTATTATAAAAATGCTAAGTAATCACAAATAACATCATCACATTCTGTAAGCTAATTAATACTACCATCTACGATTATTATTATCTGATCGTTTTCATGATAATCGTAAACTTACTGATGCGATTTTAAGTATCCAGAATTCCGAATCAATTTCACTAAGTATAACATACATTTACTATAACTATATATTATACTTGAATATAAGAGCTCTAATATTTCTATAAATATGTGTTTATGTGTTGCGTTATATAAAAATACAGTTATATGACGCAACAAATAAAATTCTTATGATGATTCTCATAATGATTCTTATCAAATTTCGTATGTCTTGTCTTAATAAAAAAGGCTAATTTAGCCATATCTACCTTAATAAATATTTCATTAGAGAACAAACGCGTCTCACAATACTTTTTATTTATACTCGGAGGATCTCAGCTGCTTTGTTATAACAAATAGCTATCCAATCGGGCTGCGTGGCGCCCCACTGAATCTGGTTCACCTCGCCTTCCGCAGCGGTGTAAGCCAGTATAGGATCCTCTATTGCTCTTGGCATTTGCTGTATGTCCCAAATCAAAGCTTGATGGTCATCGCCGGCTGTGCAAATGTGACAGGACGAATGTGGAGCCCAAGCTATACCATTAACACTAGCTCTGTGACAAAAAAGAGAAACAATTGTTATCGAATATAAAATATTGTAATGCACATCAAGCATATTATATTGCAATGTATAAAATATCTACATTACAATAAAGCTGCATTACAATATAAAATTTGTATGTACAAAAAAAAAATAAATACAACACTTGTATGTGAATGCATATACAACATTAAATTATATTGTATTAACCTGTGATTGTTCAATCTCGCAACTGGTGTACACGGCACACGAACATCTAGAATGATGACTTCGCACGCATCCATCGCAACAGTAGCAAGATAATTGGGATCTTGCTTGTTCCATGCTAACCGCAACAACGGAGTATGCTGTGGATCCTCGTAGATTATTGTTGAGTGTTCCAAATGCCGTAGGTCAAACATTCTCACGGATCCGTCAGCGCCAACAGAAGCAAACATATCCCGACCGCCTCCAGCACGGCTGAATGCAATATCGTATACTTCCTTGTCATGTGCAATTAGTTGCGTCTTCACATGCCCAGCAACCATATTCACTCTGCCCATCATTTGCCCTGTTTCTAGTCCCCAGATTGTGCAGGTTGTATCGATGCTTGAAGTTCCAATTAAATTTGGATCCACCTCGTTCCAGTCAAAGGATGTGAGTGGTGCGCAGAAATCAGAATTCTTATTATTATTCAGGACACATTCCAAACGGGTTTCTGGCTCCGCGGCACGCCATACTCTCAAATAATCACCAGATGTAGCCAGAAGATCGGGGAACAAACCTAATAAGCATTTATTAGTATAAATGTAAACAAACATTAAAGATTATAAAATAAATAGGTACTTTGCTATCTGCTTTGCTACCTTTGCTATCTGGTATCCACATGATTTTTGTGGTTGGATAAGGATGTTCAAATGTACTTTTGGCACTGAATTCAGATGTCTCCTCATCCAATGAAACAATTTGTACTTTGTTGTTATATTCCTCTACAAAACTTCCTAGTGCTAGACGAAACCTTTTGTCAGGTCTCACAGACCAATTCATGCTGTACAGTGGCCATTGAGCCTCATATTTATAGATCTCTTTTCGCTTAGGCGGTACAGTATGCATAGCCATGATTACACTCCAATATTTACTCCACTATATACTCCAATATTTCTGTCTATTTTACACTAAAGATACATTTATCGTTATAATTATATTTATCTCTCATGTAAAATTTGATTATTAAGTAAAAAGCAAAACTTGTTCGAATTGGTTGACTAACCTGTGTAATGATGTATATAGGAGAGTGATCACGTATTATGTGTCCGTTGAAGATTGTTACAAAGTTAAATCTGGTCACGTAACAATCATATCGCTACTTAAAATAAAATTATTCACATTGAGAAAAGAAAAACCGTTCACACAAGTTCACACAAGTACACACAAGACGGTTGTTTGCAGAATTCCAAATAGAACCAATATTTCAAAAATAAGATAATGTAAAGTTCTTTTAAAAATCGCAGCTAGATTTACCGTCAAAGTCTTTTAAAGTATATGTTTCTGCAAATCTTGTATTAGTTCCAACTAAAATTTAACTACGATAAACATTACGACGCTGTGAACGCCAGAAAATGCATTTCTTCTCTGCTCTTGACACGGGACAATGAAGCGTTGGTAAAGTCATTAGATTTCAACTTAACCATAAGAGGCTTTAAAAATGTCTTTTTGGAACGCAGTACTAAACGTTGTACCAGAGAGAAACCTGAGAGAAGCCACGCTGCCGTTTTTCGTACGACGCTTTTACTAGACCCATTGAAATGCTATAATATTTTATTACTGTTAAATATATTAAAATATATATAACGTTATATTGAGGACGCGATTGGGCGTTCTCTGGCCATAAAACATATTATTTTAGGTTGTACCCAACTTCTGTGACGGAAGTTCTGTCTCTCAAAAGATCAGAGAGTTACGATTCTCTGTATTTTATACTCGAAGGTATCTTTGACAGATGTTTTTATTTACAAATATTTGCAAAAGTATTGCAGTTTAACTTTATTATGGCTGGAGAAGTAATTGTCGATGCGCTGCCGTATATCGATCAAGGATATGATGAACCCGGTGTGCGAGAAGCGGTAAATAAATTAATAAATTTTTTTTAAATGATTGAAGAGGTTATGTCTTTTTGAAAAATTATAAAATACTCATATGTTTATTTTTCTGTTTGAAATACTTGGAGTTTGTTTTATTTCAGGCATTGGCGATGGTGGAGGAAGAGACAAGGCGTTATAGACCGACGAAGAATTATCTGGAACATTTGTTGCCTCTAAGTATAACTGCATTTGAGACAGAAGTGCTGAAACACGAATTTGAGAGAATGCAGAATCGCTTACCAATGGAAGTACTTAGTATGAAGCGTTATGAATTACCGCCGCCTGCATCCGGAAAACTGAATGATTTAGCTGCATGGACCGAGAGTGTAGAAAATAGCAGCGCGCAGTTAGAGCATCAGGCTACTAGGTAGACAAATATTCTATTAGCTCACATGACTTTCCTCTTTCAATTTTTTTACACTTAGCACAATTTTAGAATCTGCAATTTGGAATTAATGATGGAGTATGGCTGTGAAGCATGGAAGTCTTATCTGGACGTATTGGTTCAATTGGCGGGTCAGGCTCAAAAGCAGCTGCAGATATTAAGGAAAAGCATTCAGGAAGTCAATTGGCAGAGAAAGTCGATGCAGACCCAAGGAGGTGATAAGTTGAGGGGTTTAGAAGCACAATGGGTTGGCTTGGTATCCAAGAATTATGAAATCGAGCAGGCTTGTGTGCACTTGGAAGAAGAGATACAGAAGGTAATGATGAGTAAGGAGGCTGTCGAGATCAATGATGTACCGGCAGATGAAGGACCTGATGTGCCTGAAAAGAGTGCTACAGAAACCATGGCGTTACAGATGCAGCAGCAGGAGAATCAGGGTAGTTAATAATCTAAATCATACTTAATTATTAGGTGAAAATAATGTATAAATATAATAATTTCTGTATCAGTTTAAGTATTTATAGACACGATAATTTCCATAATAAAGCACGATTTATTTCATTGTAGTTTATATGTATCACACTTGGCTTATGGTTTTATAATATACATATGTACACGACGGTTATCACTGTTCAATTGATAGCGCGATACATTACTAATTAACAATTATTTATAAATTACGATGTGCTAAAGGTAAGATTTGTTTTAAATAAGCTACTTGCGTTCATATATGAACACCGTGCACACATTGCATAGGCCCAGCTGAATTTTTTTTTTAAATTCTTGTTAGGACAGCAGAGCAGTATATATCATGACATAATTACAAAGCGAATAGCTAAGCGTTTTTATTTTCGGCCGACTATTCAGTGTAAAAAAATACGTGAATTTAATTTCCGTTTTGCGCTATATCGTTTCCTCGCGACGATAGGAAAGATGTTAAAAATAATTATTAAGTTTGCATCACGCGACTTTTTGCCACTTAATCATTCATCTGTCATAATGAAGTCTCGCTGGCGCCAGAGCTCTGAGATTGAAGTGCTATGCTTCCCTTGTAACCCATTGATTCCTCTTCCAGTAAAGTTATTCGTTGCTTCAATGTTTTCACCTATAAATAGTAAAACATTATATCAAAATATCTAAACTCTTATATAGTATAAAGAAATGTACCATTATAGTTGAACTGTATATATAATACTTTCAATTTATAGTGTTTAGTGTATATATGTGTCTATGTACATCGCTGATGCCAGACGGCAGAACGCTCTGCGCAGCACATAAATATATGCGATTGGTCTCGAGTGTGCGTATGAGTCGTCCCGGTCTGCCATCTGGTAGCTCTGATGTACGCGTGCGCAGTGACGCCAATTCCAGAAAATTCAATATGGTGGTAACAGAGTGATATCAGCCAGGTCAAAGTTTGCAAATTTCAATGAGATATATTATAAAATTTAAAAGATTCATCGACAAGTTACCAGGAAAGCGAATATTCGGTAACTACCGATTTCTGCCAATATTTTTTGTTTTTGGAGCTGCCTTGGAATATACTATGATACATTGGCATGTAGGAGAGGTTAACTTTTACAAGACATACAAACGTCGAAGAGTGGAGGAACTGGCAGAGGAGAGATTGCAACGAGAAGTCTGACAACTTGACCGCACAAACTTTTTGTCAGAATATTGTGCAATGACAAATGGACTATCTTGGCCGCGGTACATTATGTTCTGTGCGACGGCAATGATCACGATGCTAGCTGGTGCACAGTGGGTTCACGAAATCTACAGACCGCTCGGTGATCTGGAGGATCTCGTCGAACAGAGATTAAAGGAAAAACGGAAAGAACTACAGAAGAAATAGCGTCATAGAAAAATGTATCTAGTGTAATAAATTAGTTTTTTTTACAAACACCGAGAGAATGACTAAAGCTGATACTTCACCTATATTAAATCATACCTGCGCAGCATGCCTTTCCACCATACCCAGCATCTGCTGCTCCAACTTTTTCAATCTAGACTGATATTTTTTCTTAGACTTTTCCAGAGTTTGAACCAAGGCTCTAAAGAAGGGAAGAAAATTTTAATTTTTTATTAAAAGTATGTCAGTATGATAAGCCAAATTTCTATAACAATCACCCATTAGCTCTTTTCAAATCATTGACGAGTTCGGCGGATTGCTGATGCCTGAGTTCAGAATTTTTGTTCACTTCATCCAACGTAGAGATCAATTCCTGCAGGCGTTCCTTCAGTCTTGCCTCTCTGCCCAGTGCTTCAATCAATCCAGACTCCACACTCTCGTTGTCACTCAAACCTCGGTCCTAAATGTACGTTTAATTAATTTAACGCTTAAAAAGAAAAATTCTAAAATCACTATGCATGATACCTTATTTGTTGCCATCGCGAGCATTGCTTCCGCATCGCTCAACTGACCCTGAAGATGTTGTATAGTCGCATGCTGAGCCGCAATCTGCGTGTCTCGCGCATTTAACTTCAATTCTATGGTAGCGCGTTCCTTTTCCAAAAGAAACACTCTGGCACGTAACTCGGCCTTGTCTTCTCGCATAGCCATCAGTTCCTAAAAACATTGAGTCATGAAATAAAATACTATAAATTTACAAAATTTTATTTTAAATGCGAAAATTCGCGGGTGTTTTATTAAGCTAATAAATACCGACCTGCATGAGTACGGCGGTTTCCAAGTCGAGTTTTCTGGCTTCCGCCAGGGAGATGGTGTTCTTCGAGTTTAGAGGCTCCGCGTGTACACTCTCAAGTTCAACCGCCGTCGACCTGACCATGGTTCGTTCTCCCTTCAGTCTGCTGATGTGTCTTCTGAGTCGTTGCTCGTCGTCCACGTTCCACGTTACTTCCGATCTGCTGAAACAAAGCGCGTAATATAAACTGCGCATATTGAGCATAATTTAAGATTACGTACTCGTCTGACAAGACCATGCTGTCCTCCCACGGAGCACCCAGCGTATTGGCGCAGTCGTTTTCGAGTCTGTTTAAGACGTGATACGCAACATTTTCCGCTGCCCGTCTGTTATCAATCGTCACGCTGTTCCTCTCGGTGGAGAGCGCGATCTCGCTTTCCAGCAGAGCGACTAGAACGTCATAAGCCTCGATGGCGCGATCGCTGTACGAGAGCGCGAGTCGCAACGCCGTCGCGTTCGATTCGTACTTGCCGACTAATAAGCTCAATCTGCAATGCGAGGGAAAGATTATTGGTCACGCGCGTCGCTCGTGTTATTTCAATGAAACGCACCTGTCGCATTGCGCCTTGCTCTCGTGCAACGTGAGAGCGAGGACCGCGTTGTTCGCCCGCGCGTGCTCGAGTCTGCTGTTCAGCCGCTCCGTCTCGACCTCGAATTGCTTTTCGGAACCGTTCAACTCCTGCAGGTTTGACTGTTCCAAGAGATCTGACACGAGATGCTCGGCGACCATGGTGGAGCACACCTGAAGCATAATCAATGCGTAAATTGCGCGTCCGCTGTACATAAAGAAGTAAATAATTTAAAAAATCCGTACTCCGAGATTAGTGATATCCGGACCGGTAATGTGTCTTTCGTCTGTCCTTCTCAATCTCACTCTCTCTGCCATTTTGAGAACTGGCGGTTCCTCCCTCGTTACGTTCTTCGTCGGAGGAGTCTGTAGTGGCGGCAAGAGGGGCGAGCATGGCGCCGTCAAAGGTTCCGGCGAGCTGGTGTTGCCTCTTGTCTGCGGAGAGAAGAGATGATTTACGGAGGAATAAAACAAAGGGATGATAAAGGCGTTTCATTAATGGCTTTCTATTCTTTTAATCTTACCCTTTTTATAGTGAAGCGTTATATGTATATATATATATTTTTTTTAATTTTTATTATATATTATAAATAATTATATATAATAGGTCTTTTATAAATCCCGAGAATTATTGCCACTCACTCTGAGCTCCCGTCGCGGTGAATCACTGCCCGTCGTTTGTCTCTGATTGCCGGTCTGATTCTTGAAATGAGTCAATTGCGCTTGCAGGCTCGCGATCTCTGCGCGTAATGCCGTGATTTCCTCTTGCAGCGTCGCGACGGCGACGCTCTGGCATGACGCTGCTTGCTGCGTCGGCTCCGGCGTCGGCAATGCGGCTGGACTGTCCAGCTGATCCCTGCCATTCTGTATTAAAAATGGCTTGTTAAGCTCTTCATATCTAACAGAATAGTGTTAAATTAGATTTTAGCACGATGAATGTTCGATGTATGTATATATATATAATGATATATTATTAAGAGATATTAAGGTATGCACGCGATATTTCGAGAACTGAAAAATTCCAGGCATTTGAAGAATTCCCCTTCACCTCTGTCGGTCGATTCTCGTCCTCGCAGCAACTGGAATCGGCGTCCCCCAAAGTACGATCGCCATCCCCTTGGTTGTCCCCACCGCCCTCGCTCTCCTCCACCGGATTAGTGATGGAACCCTCGGCGTCTCTGCTCGTCTCGACCTCTGCGCGTCATTAAAACCATTCTCGCATCATATTCTCGTACGATTAACGCGCCGGCGAATTTCCCCGCGGAGGCTCTACAATCGCGACTCGAATCTCTACTCTCTGTTATTCGTTCGGAAGAAAGGTCGATTGATTCACGCGCGACGCGACGGTATGCGCCTCGCTCGGCTCCGCTCCTTCGGTATTGAAAACATGTGCGCTACTGAGAGGGCTATTACTATCGTTGTTGCCCGGGGGAGATCGCTGATTGCCCGGCGGGAATTGCCCCGTGTTTCCCCAGGAGAACCCCGAGGCCATGTGGCGCTCGTTACCGCCGATTACCGCTCGAAAACGATTCGCCAAAGTTTTCTCTCTTCGGGGAACGAAATCGGTACGCGGCATGCCGACATCCGTGCGTCATATTCGGAGCAGGCGTTTACCAGACTCGTCCTCCTCGGCGATCACGGTCGCGCGATGCCGCTCCAGCTGTCTGCCGAGCTCGGCGATGACGGAATGCAATTCGGTGAGTCGCTCCTCGTGCCGCGCCGCTTGCTGTTCCGCTCGTTGCTCGGCGCGGGCCGCCTGCACTTCCGCTCGCATCAGCGCGGCCTCGGCCGTCTCGCGCGCGCGAGTAGCCGCCACCAGCCGCGAATTCAGCTCGGCCACCTCGGATCGCAGGGTGGAGAGCGCGGCCGCGTGCAGCTGTAAGAAAGATTAATTTTTTTATTCGCATAAATCTTCTTCAAAGTCGAGCTCTCCGATGATTTCAGCATTATATAAAAGACATTATATAAAAGTCATTATATGGAAAAAAACAGATAAAATTCGAGCGCTGAAAAACTTCCAAGTTTATATATAGAACTGTGAGAATTGTAATTTTTTTTCTTTAAATGTAAATTATCGCAGAGATACAAAGTTGCGGCGCAATATCGAAGATGCGCAATATCCGCGCATCAAATAAATCAGCTAATTCTGCTTATTAATTTACATTCAATGACGCAACCTGACTGATTAACATTGTGAAACGAGCAGGAACGTTCTGAAGAAGATTAGACAAATCATCAAAGCGCATCAAAACACTTTGCGTGTTTGTTTCCTCGTCTCGCGGACAATCGCAATTTCTCATGTTCGTGCGGAAAATGCATACATCTAGGGTGTCCTTCTCATGAGCAGTCACCCATATCGGACATTATATGTTAATGGCGACGGTTATAACGATATCAGTCACGTAATTGATGGAGAAGAAGCGGGAGGCAAGTCACGGAGTATAAAAAGACGTTTGAACGCGGCACGACACAAACATTCGTTTCGGAAATATCGACGCGATATTGACTGTGCGAGTGATCTTGACTTTGTGCGCTCAGGTAATGTCGAATCGCTTGGCGAATCTAGAAAAATATCGCGATTATCATTAGTAGAAGATCGAAGCTTGCGTAAATTTTTCATTTTAAGCGATCGTTGATTTTCTCATTTAACGCTGCTCATCAAATTTTCAATTTAATAATGCAAATCAATTTTTTATGCTGTCACACAGGCAACAACTCAATCGAGGATGAAGCTGATTATCGTTCTGGCAGTGATCAGCATTGTACTTTCGGCGACAGTTATGGCGGCCGATGACGGCGTTGACGACTACATTCGTCTGCCGGGGAAAACTTGCGAGGATGCACCGGCATGTCCCGACGAAAGACCCTGCGTGATGGAGCCACCTCGATGCAACGTCGGTACCTGCGGCACAGATCCAGTACCAACTTGCGGAAAGAAAGAACTCTGAATGTACGAATGTAAAGAAAGGTTTTTATCCGTTTTAAATCTTGACACTCCTTTCCGCATTGCAATAAAAGTTTGATTTCACCAAGAAGAGAATTTGCGCGTTCATTACGCATTCACGTGTACACGTCATACACATACAGACACGTAAATCCGCGGTAATCAAACATTTCGCGAAAAAACGGAATTTTACGGAAGCTTTACGTAAGACTGGAAAATGTTTGACGTAACCGTGTTTCGACGAAGGTTCGCAATTTTCGGTCTTTCATTCACAAAGGATCCTTGTTCGGTTAAGGTCAGGGCTATGTGTGTGTTCGTGTCGACTCAACGCAAACAGGGGGACACGACGGCCCGAGTGTAATTCAAACAAAAAGCAATCAAGGATTCAATTACAAGGCCGCACGGCCGACCGGCCGGCCGACGGTTCGCAGTTTCATCGGCGAGTAAGGTCACGAGCGAGAGATTCGATTACCAAACTCGCCTTCGGACACATCCACTGTCCGCACGGACAAATTTGCATTTGCCTCAGATAGTTTCCGTATTTTTCGGCATAGCGTCAAAGTTATAACGAAGACACTAAGCGCATAATTATATGCAGTAATTAGTTCTGGGCTTCCGCAGTGAATTCGACGATTAACTAAAATTATAAATTTCATAAAAATTAACTCAATCAATCTTAGCGTGATTATTTCCGGCTTCGGTTTACTTTAACCAACAGCTAAAACTTTGACAGAATTGCTGACATAAAGAATTAAATATTGTCATCAAAGAAAAAAAAAAAAACTTTTTTCCATGACGACATCTAATTATTTGGCAATTTTGTCGACAAGTGGAAATAATCATCTTTAATGTACTTAATAATTTCTGGCTAAATGTAAAGCATGATAAAATAGTACACATTGCGCAACGTTATCGGCAAGTGTGTTATCGCTGTCCGGTCGAATTAAGCTCGATAACACGCGGAATATTCCTTCGCCAAGTAACTTTTTGCATTGTTGTAAAAAGAACGAGCGCAAGAGCGCCAAGTTGCCAGAGCAGAAGGCAACGAAGATCCACATACCATTAACCTACATCGAAGTCGCTGGCATACAAACAACGGTGTCTTGCAGAGCGTAGGTGAGATACGCGGAAAAAGAGTGAAGTAGAACGAGCAGAAAAATGGAAGGCGCTAGATATTTCACGGCCCAGCGAGCCGAATGAGCGATATCTTCTTCGCTGATAAGACGTAAGCTTTAAAGTACTTCTAACACGAAGTGTCGTGTGCTTTCGTAGCGAAATACTCTCTGCGCTCTTTTGATAAGAAAAACGGTGAGTCCAAAAAAGTTGAATAATAAATTATATAAATTAATATTGAATAAGCATAAAAAAGACACAAATGAAGAATATTAATAACATTAACATAAATTATGTCAAAATTAATCGGTTGAATCAAATGTTTGAATTCTGCTACATAATATTAAAAATCATTTTTATAAAAGTTACGCCTTTTCCGCAAAAAAAAGGTGACAATAATTTTCTCGGTTTTAATTGTCATAAAAATTCATCTAAAAAAGGTAAGAAATTATAAAAGTTGGTCATCATAAATCGTAAGACTTTTTTTCTCTATTTGCGACTCTTCAAATTTAAAAGCTTAATCTTCACAGGCTGCGATAATTTATCACAGAATTATTTTCTCAATTAGTTGAACTTTCGAAAAATGAATAATTGTGTTAGTTACCTAAGAAAATAATACAATACCAATGTCTTTGCATTAATTTTTAAAAGTGTAAAGTTTTCAGGAAATATTAAATTCGACAAATATCGATCTTCGAAGAATCTCGCGGAACTCGTGATTTGCTAATACGTAAAACGCTGACGGATGTGCGCGCGCTCTCTCATTATGATTGACGTGCAATTTATCGAGTAAAAGTTCTTTTGTGTTTTCGTTTGTATGACTGACGGTGGCGACGCGGTGATTTATCATCGTGTCCGCGTGTGCGAGCGTGGCTGCAAAACTGCGAAAGCCTCGAAAGAGCAGTGCCTGGCCGCCGTATCGAGTCGTCGACAGGTTTTCCTGACGACGCGCACACCAGACGACGTCATATCGCAAATGTGAGTGGAAAAAGTCGGCTTCGCGCGGACGCGGCCGGCGATAAATCAGTCCCGTGCGTCGCCGCGATAAATATAATATAAGAAGCGATACATCTTGAAAATAAAATGAATCTTAAGGAAGGTTTTCTTCTCTCTTTCGAAACAACGAAAACCTCTCTATCTTCGTAAACTTGATGCGTCGTAAATATTAATAAATATCGACCTTTCATAACACCGAAGATGGTCTGATGATAGGCAACGAAGTGTTGGCAACTAATTATTGTAATATACTTTTTGGCAGCAATACCCAGCTATTTAATCAGAGCCTTGCTTAATCCTATTAGTTAGTTAGTTAATTTTATTTCAGCTTGCACACACGCGCGCGCGTACACAATCATGAATTGTTTTAATCTTCTTAATTTTAATATAATCGCAAGTTTGAAGCGTCATACGTTAAAATACGAATCCGCTTCCGGTGTACGCTCTTTGCTACCGTTCTCTCACCCAGATCGCGGCTTTTCAATCCCCGGACAGCTGAGGAACTTACTGCATTTTGCTTGTTATCGGCCTCGACCTGTATGGGCACGGTTTTATCGGAGCGGTGATCACCGGGGCAGCAGAGCCACGACCTAGACCTTGCGAGCCCTCCGGGCTCTTCCTCCTCGTCCTCGGCGACCTCCTCGTCCTCCGTGGTCGCGCAGTGAACGTAGACGAGGTCGTCGCGGCACGGCGGCGGCTCGAGCACGGCCTCCTTGGCGGCCAAGGCTGACACGTGACCGGAAAACATCTGCACCGGATAGCGCGGTGATTGTTGTTGGAACTGGTGGTGGTGGTGGTGCTGGTGCTGCTGCTGCTGCTGCTGCAGCTGCACGTGCTGCCGGTGCAGGTGATCCACGTAGTAGCGCGGCTCCGCCGAGCCATTGTTTACGGCTACCGCGAAACCCGCCACGTTGAATTCCGAGAGCTGCGGTGCTGGCTGCTTCTGACCCAGAACGCTCCTCAGGAAGGCATCTTCCGCCGTTCCGCGCGATGTAATCTCAATCGATGGCGATTGAGACCGTCACGGATCGCCGCTCGCCGATCGTCCGGCCGAACGATCCAAGATGCCGCGTGTTTTGCGCGTTGCCGCCCCTCTCACGATCGCTCCTTCCTCTTCCTCCTCGCGGATTTTCGTTTAATTTATTTTCAATCTTATTCCTTTCCGCCTAGCCCACCCATCTGAGAAGACCGGTCGCGCGGCGGCGGCGGATGTTGCGGTAATCCCCGTGCGCGCGGACGGCGCTGGCCTCCCGAACTCGCGATCGAATTATAGCGGGATCCGCCGGTCGGCTGGATACACGCAAGGAGGAAATGATCAATTAATATTTAATGAATGCTTTGTTTATCCGAGGATGAAGCCGGGATTGATGAGGCGTGAGGCGGCGCTGCTTCATGGAATTAATGCGAGTTAATGTGACAGGTGCGATTGATGCAGACGTTTGATCCAAGTATAACACGATATTCGCACTGTATGTCTGGTCTTATATTGCCAATGTATGTGCATGAATAAAATATTTTTCGACAGAGTAAGAGAGAGAGAGAAATTGATGAATAAAGCGATAGTGGGCTCGTTCGCCGCACGAAAGTACCGCAATTTGCGAACAGCATTTGACAGAGAGATACATTACGCGGTATCATACCAGACATTACAATCGATGCTAACGTTTCGCACACGGTATTGATCGATTTCATTTTGGACTTGGACTACATATATTTTTCGTATTCGCTCGCTCCTAGCTTCACTGCGGTTTTGCGCATGGTCTAACGATGTTATCCGGCATTTGCGCGTCCAAATCGATAATTGCTTCCGAAATATAATACAA